GATTGCTTAAATAATCTAAGCTTTCAACTTACCTCCAGATGGTAGCGCTTCTTCAAGTGAGAGATAGCGACTCTCAAAAAAGATATATAGTTTTATCATCAATCATCATCAACAGCCTATAATAGTCCTCTGCTGGACATAGGCCTCTCCTTAGAAAGGAGGTTTTGGCCTACTATACCACGCTGGCCAGACGGGTTGGTATATGGTTTGTTTCAAGTTTTTCTTCTTTTTGCAGTGCTGTTATCCTGTGCAGTTTGTTCCCTTAGTCGACTCTTACGACAACCACGGGACATTCGGGTGGTGACATTCCCTATTCTTAATCCGTCACCACACGGATATAGTTTTATAATTCACTGATAATATAAAATTATTCAATTTCGGATGTAGACAATAGCTTTATACGTTTTCGATTAATTTTTGAATTTCATGCGTATAAATTGTATAGTAACTGACGTTTAATTCAGACAAAATTTAACAGGCTTGGTTGTAAATTGCGAACATTTCGAAACCAATATGATTGCCACCAAGGGGAAGTATATTATTGTAATGGTCTCATTGCACTTAATAAAATCATGCACTGTTCACACATTATTTCTACCTACTGTCTATATTTATTTTAACCATTTAAATAAGAACAGAAAACAATGGTTGTCAGAAGTTCCGAGAAAGAAATAAAAAATATCTATAAAACCAGTTTATAAATATATAACTATTTATGTAGCAATAAATCTGGTAGATCTACAAATTATGCAAAAGTCAACAAAGGAAGAACTATTGTAATACATCATAATTTATTAAACATATCATCATCCACCGATCGCCGTCCAATGCTGAAAGGCCTCCCCCAAGGAGCACCTACTATCCCAGTCTTGAGCATCCCACACTTTCTTCAAGTCGTTGGTCCACCTGACCACATATATATGTATATATGTATTGTATTAACATCAGGAATTATGTGTCTATTCATTAAATAATTGTTGCGCCTGTCTATATTTTTATAGCAATCTTTAATACTGTGTTGTGGGTCAAAATGTTTAGGGATAACATGAAAGGAGTGATTTAATTGTTCGATGGAATACCATTGGATTTCATATAAAAATCTGATGGCCAATGCTATTTCCAAGAGTTTTACTATCAAAATTATATAAGCATAGTTGTTCTGTGATAAGTTCGACATTTTGTTAAAAGTTAGTCAAAAATCTTCTTTTAAGCGTGTTGTATATCGTGTCAAAATTTCAGTCCCATCAGGACGCCCACAGGCCAGGTGGAGTGACGGTTTGCGCAAGATGGCTCGCAGGAGCTGGATGCGAGAAGCCCAAAATCGATCTAAGTGGCGTGCAATAGGAGAGAGCTATGTCCAGCAGTGGACTGCGATAGGCTGATGATGATGATATATCATATAACATGGTTATGTTATATGGTACTAGCTGAGACCCGCGGGGCGAAGCTAGTCTAAAACAAGTAACCTAAGTTACTCCTTATGTCATCAGCTATCTGCCACTGAAAGTCCCGTCGAAATCGGTCCACCCATTCCAGAGATTACCAGGAACAAACAGACAGACAGTCAAAAATTTTAAAAAATGGTATTTTGGCATATGTACCGTGTAAACATACATATGCATTTAGTAAAAAGCGGTTATTTTAATATTACAAACAGACACTCCAATTTTATTTATTTGTATAGGTAGGTATACATGGTCATGTATGTCTGAGATTCTCAGTGTAATCTGTTCCAGGTAAACTTTCTTTGAAGTAACGTATCGGCCATTTAATGGGTTTAAGTAAAAAAAGGTCAGTGAACTGGATTAACACGACTTAACGTTTTGTCGTTTGAGTAAAGGCTTCGTTGAACAACAAAAGTTCAAGACACATACGAGTACCTATACATTGCTACGTATTTACCTAAAATTTGAATGGTTTTGTTTGTGTAGTTGTTTCGAATGAATAAATTCCACAAACAACACTTTACTCCACTTCTCTTTACTTCTTAAAAACCAGATTTAACTAAAATAGTGTATCTGCAATACACTTGAACTGCAGAAATTCTTATTCTAAACAAGCTGATCATTAAAAATAAAAAAGATCCGGATGAGTACGAGTCGGACTCGCCCGAGGGATTCGTACTTTGTAGGTACAAATCAACAAGGTACAAGGTAGGTAAAATTGAAGTGTCTGTTGTAATCTATACTAATATTATAAAGCTGAAGAGTTTGTTTGTTTGTTTGTTTGAACGCGCTAATCTCAGGAACTACTGGTCCGATTTGAAAAATTCTTTCAGTGTTAGATATCCCATTTATCGAGGAAGGCTATAGGCTATATATCATCACGCTAAGAGCAATAGGAGCGGAGCACCAATGAAGAATGTTTCAAAAACGGAGAAAATTTATTACTTGAGAGACGCAGACGAAGTTGCGCGGGTTAGCTAGTGTCAAAATAAAGTTTTTTGTTCATGCCCACACGTTTATTTGCACGATACCTATGCCTAAAAACCAGTTTGAATATTTTTTGTCCGTCTGTCTCTTTGTTCGGGTAATCTTCATAATAGCTTGACCGATTTTGATAATATTTTACTACCAGGTAAAATGTTTTACTATATAAGGAGTAACTTAGGCTTTTTCCATCAGAAAACCCCTATGAAATTTTACCCGTTCCGGGAATCGAATCCACTAAGGTAACGTTTTTCGAATTCCACTCGGACGAAGTCGCGAGCACCAGCTTGTTATAAATAGTTCAGGAATCGAGCTTCGAAGGTTTTTGAAGAGATTCTCAGGAAATATAGATTCCAAAGCCTACAATTACTTAAATTAATGTGTTTTATCAGTGAAATTGTACGCCTACTGATTACGTACTTTAAATAAAGACCATATCTATACTAATATTATAAAGCTGAAGAGTTTGTTTGTTTGTTTGAACGCGCTAATCTCAGGAACTACTGGTCCGATTTGAAAAATTCTTTCAGTATTAGATAGCCCATTTATCGAGGAAGGCTATAGGCTATATATCATCACGCTAAGACCAATAGGAGCGGAGCACCAATCAAGAATGTTTCAAAACCTGAGAAAATTTATTACTATTGAGAGACGCAGACGAAGCTGCGCGGGTCAGCTAGTTTTTTATAATTTATAACAAATTTATAGTTTTTAGATTTTTCCCTGTACTTGTTATATAAACCGATGTTACTTAAAATTACATAGTTATAAATCAACGGGAAATACCCTATACATTTTGATTCCCTTGAGAGTGTCGAAATATGCGTATTTGCGGCATTTTAAGGGACTCTAGACCCGAGTATATGGTTTTAATTTCAACTCGATACCTCCACGCGTTTCAGAGATAAAGGATCTTGACAGACGGACAGACGGATAACATAGTTATTTTTTTTATGTTAGAGGGGGCAGATGAGCAGACGCGTCACCTGATTCAAAGTGACCATCGCCGCCCATGAACGTCTGCAACTCAGGAGTTTAGGAAGGAGTACATCTTATAAGGTAAAAAGTGTATCTTATAAGGGTTCCGTTTTTGCCTTTTTAGGTACGGAACCCTAACAACAAAAAACCTGACTACGAGAAAATATATAAATACTTAAAATTATAAACCGCCGACTATTATACTGTTGTTTGGTGACTTTCTACACATATTGAATTAAGACATTTTTACAATATTTATTTAGTGAACCTTAAAGGTTTTCCGTGTAGTGACGGATTAAGAATACGGAATGTCACTACCCCAATTCATCCCGTGGGTGTCGTAAGAGTCGACTAAGGGCGCAAAACAACGCAGGACACCAGCACTGCAAAAAGAAGGAAAACTTGATACAAACCCTACACCAACCCGTCTGGCCAGCGTGGTATAGTAGGCCAAAACCTTCTTTCTAAGGAGAGGCCTATGTCCAGCAGTGGACTATTAAAGACTATTGATGATGATTGATGATGATGAAAGGTTTTCCTCCTCCAAACCTCCTTTCTAAGGAGAGGCCTATGTCCAGCAGTGGACTAGTATAGGCTGTTGATGTGATGTGATGATGTGAAAGGTTTTCATGTACCCAGTGTCACTTCCACAATTCAGAAGAATCAAACGACACCTCAAACTTTAAAATTTATCAACCGGTTTAGGCTACAGAGCTTGACAAAGAAATACACCGGATACAAACCTACACTCGAAAACCATAACCTATCTTCTGGCGCAGTCGGGTAATGATATTTTAAAGTTCAATATAATACTGTTTTATATTTCTTTTTTCTTTTTTATTCATGAAGCATATACTTATTATTTGAATTTAGACATGTGTTATACCACTTAATTTGTATAAACACAACAGTAGTTTTTGATAGGTACTTCTCTATTTGCACATACGAGGTGACGAGGTGGATGATTTGCAATACGAATGTATGGGAAAACATATCTACCGTTAGAGTGTTGAACTGCATTGTTTGTCTACTACCCATAAGTCATGTGTCATGATGAATGTGAGGATTTGTGATAATAAAACACATTGAGTCCTTAACGTGTCCTGGATAATATCACAGTCGCTTTATTTAAATCACCAAGTTCGCCTGTAAGAAGGCGAACCAACCAGTTTCTTATTAGTTGTTCTATTACAGTGTATATTTTAATTACAGCGCCATCTTTTGCATATAAAAGAAGGTACTTGAAGTACAAAAATACAAATAACACTAGTTTGATGTAATTACGATAGAGTGTGCTGTCTTAAATATTTTTTTGTTTTACATTTTTCGAATACATTTGCTAACTTTTGTTTTATTTGTAAGATAATTTTTTTGCCGCTTTCAAGTTATAATGAATAATAGATGAATTTCCTTTATAACAAGTTAGTACAAAATTTATACATTGTAATTTTCTCTTTTTATAATTCTCTTTTCATAAAAACTTTCTGTCAACAATTAAATCTTTATATTAGGTATACTAAAACACTAGAGGTTTATACTATTCGTTCCTTATTTTGTTAAGTAGCAACGTAGAACCATATTGTTCTTTAGCGATTATAACTCTGTTCTAATATTACAAATGCAGTAGTACTCCTGTTCGGGCAGAAGGTATTTTTTTGTAAGGTCTTTGAAGGTATTAAAGTCACAGTAACTTGAAGATCCGCATTCATTTATGCTTAAGATTCTTGCATTTGACTTGCCTGCTTGAGGAAGGTACACCGGCTGGAAAAAAAAAGGAGAAGACTTAAAGTCAGTACAGTATGGTGGACTTATCTTCAATAGTTGATTGTTGTCATCAATCAATCGAAGTCGTGGAGGTTCATCGTACCGTTCTATATGTATGTGTGCAATTCACACACAGCAGCATTTTTTGTAAATACATACATATTATACATTAAAAGTTCATGCACACAAATGTTTGACTTAAGCGGGAATCGAACCCGCGACCTTTGGAATAGCAGTATGTTACACAAACCACTATGGCATCCGGTCGTCAAATTATTCTGAGAAGAAGCAGGAGTACTAGATTCCCACTCAGGACAGTGTGATGAGCACGATCATTTGTTCTGTGTCTGGGTGTAATTTATCTATAATATGTATGTATTTCATCATCATCATCATCATCAACAGCCTATACTAGTCCACTGCTGGACATAGGCCTCTCCTTAGAAAGGAGGTTTTGGCCTACTATACCACGCTGGCCAGACGGGTTGGTGTAGGGTTTGTTTCAAGTTTTCCTTCTCTTTGCAGTGCTGTTGTCCTGCTTAGTTTGCTCCCTTAGTCGGGTCTTACGACACCCACGGGATGAATTGGGGTAGTGACAATTTGTATTCTTAATCCGTCACCACACGGACTATGTATGTATTTAGAAATACATAAGTATGTTTACCAGCTGTCTGGTTATCATAGTACAGGCTCTTCCTAGTTTGGAATAAGAGGACCATGTGTGAGATGTCTAAGTTTAATAATTTTATCATATTTTAAGGCCCTAGAGTCACTAGTAGAGTCATGCAGTGGCATTTAATTGAAAACAATTCTAGAACTTACCAGTACACTGTAAAGGCCTGTAGTTTTAGACCTGTACAGTTCCAGAGCAAACACGGAGCCATACTCGGGAATAGTACGCTCATACTTCACGTTCGAAGCCTCCATTAGGGCTCCGAGGTTGAAGTCGTGGCAGGAAAATAGTCGGAGGCGTTTCAACACTTCCTTGCCTGAGATGATATCCTCAGCCGCTTCTGTGAATTGCTGCAGGAGTACACCTGAAAACGTATGGTACATCAACACCAATGTCTTCGTCTTAGTGGGGGTAATTTGAACTGTTTATTTTTCTTTTAGGGAAATGATAAAAATGATAGTATGTACTCTGTTTTATAGACTACTTCAGGATAATAGTATACTTGTAAAACTCAGGCGTAAATCCTCAGAACGAATCCGGCAACCGGGCGCCGGGCACGCCGTCATCACGGCGGTAAGACCCGTTGTAAAGGATATGCTCATCACAGGTGAGGCCTTCTGTCACCCTAGCAGAAGCAGGCCGGGGTGGCGGCGAGCGCGTTGCGAAGCGCGCTCGATTCCAGGGAGCAGAGGGAACATGGGGTTCCCACACGGGGGGGGTCGTCTACCTGTTGTTGTAGATGGCCCGAGGTATGTCGGGGCACCAGGGACTTCCTTTCTAGGGTATACCTGGTGGTATACCCCGGCTATTAGTACCCGAGACGGCGTGCGGTTTTAGTCGGTTCGAGTCCGACATGCCACCGATAGGTGGTATCCGAGGGGATTTCCGCACGGAAAAAAAAGGCGTAAATCCTCAGAGTTTTAATACGTGAGAATTTTTATTGTGCTATGTAGAATCAATAGTTACTACGTAGTCTGGATTCTAGATGTCGCTCGTATTAATTTGTAAAGGTGTGTGTAGAAAGGTCTGCCAAAATTTTGTACTTACCGCCACCAATTTTCTTCATTTCATCTGTTTTAAAATACAACCCGTATGCTTGTGTTGCTGCATCCCGAATCGTTGGTCTTAAAGGTTTAGACCATTCTGGAATACTGATACGCAAACCATCCTGTAAAGAAACAGTCCTGATATTTATAGTCTTTAAGTCTTTAACTTTAAGAGTCATATTCATTTCGCTGTTATTTCTTATTCTTATGTGAGAAAATAACTAGGGATTTACTTGTTTAATCTCGATCCATTTTTATCGGATGCATATTGCATTTAATCAGATTTTATATACATAGATCCTAAAAAATTTGCTTGGAAGTAAATCATCTTATTTGATGTTTTTATCAAATTTAAAATCCCATGATCCGCTCTTCGAAAAGTTAGCATCAGGTCGATAATTGCTACAATTTTTACATCCCTAGAAACACCCATCACAGGCTGTCAGACCTTGACAAGTCAAAAAAAATCTAGGGTACAATATTTACCAGACTCCTAAAAAGGTCAAACAATGTTTGAAACAACAACGGGTTCTCTGTGAAGTTCCGGCCTGTTTTCTCTTCGAGCAAAGGAATTATATTCGTGTATGGTGCAAGCTCTTCTTGTAAGGACTTCTGTTTCGCTTCTGTCATCAAAGTGATGAACCTATCGCAGTTGGAGTAATAGCGAAGCTGAAAGATAAATGGGGAAGAATAAATTACTGATATTATTATTATTGTTTCTTTTATCTATACAAATTAATAAAATTGGAGTGTCTGTTTGTAATATAAAAAAAAAAAATACCAATCGAATTGAGAACCTCCTCCTTATTGAAGTCGGTTAATAACCGCTTTTTACTAAATGCATATGTATGTTTACACGGTACATATGCCAAAATATCATTTTTTACAATTTTTGTCTGTCTGTCTGTCTGTCTGCCTGTTTGTTCCGGGTAATCTCTGGAACGGCTGGACCGATTTCGACGGGACTTTCACTGGCAGATAGCTGATGCCATAAGGAGTAACTTAGGCTACTTTTTTAAGACTAGCTTCGCCCCGCGGCGTTGTCCGCGGTTATAACAACAAACGCGGGTAACACCGCGGGTCTCAGCTAGTCATAAATATGATTTTCGGTAATCGAGACCATAATGGTCTCGCCGTTTGGCCAGCGTGGTATAGTAGGCTAAAACCTTCTTTCTAATGAGAGGCCTATGTCCAACAGTGGACTATTAAAGGCTTTTGTGTGTGATGTGAGACCATATATTTTTAGGTAAACTTTGAGCTATGTTATACTTTTACACAGTTGATGATTATGTAAATATAAAAAAAAAGGAAACTATTCTGTTTGTTAGTTACTTCTTCATAACTTATTTCTGCATTAATTTAAATCTAAATATAACAATTTGTTCAGTAGTAGCTTATTATTTCAATATTTTGTTCCTGTGAGTTCTAGTGTTTAAAAAAAAAGTTTTTTTTTATTATAATAATACTCCGAACATCTTACACAACGCTATTTATGATTTAAACTAAGCAGAGCTTGTACTATGAAAGCTAGATTGACTAATAGAATACTTGTATACTTTTTTGTAAATACATACATATTATACGTAGAGAACACCCAAACTTCGAAACAAATATTTGTAGACCTTACAATCATTTGGTCCGACCCGGGAATCGAACCCGAGACCTCAGCACAGCAGTCGCATAAACTACCACTGCGCCACCTATTCAATCTTGTTCTTGCAATTGTTTCATAAGTGTACTTTTTAACTTGGATTAATAAGGTATTTTAACTGTTAATGGATTAATTTTAAATAATATTAATAATAATATTTGGGACATCTGTCACACAACGCCATCTAGTTTCAAACTAAGCAGAGCTTGTACTATGACAACTAGATTGACTAATATAATACTTATATATTTTTTGTTCATTCATACATATATATATATAATACACCCAAACTCTGAAACAAATATTATTATTATATTATAATAATAATAATAATAATATTATATTATAATAATAATATTTGTACTATTAAGGTACTATTCATTTTACGTATCATTGCTTTTAAAATATTAAAATAATTGTATGTCTATGGTTTTCATTGCTACTTGTAATATTATTATTAATTTTAATGTAAGTATACAAAAATATCGACACCTTGAAAAATTTAGCATCCCTAGCATTGTTTACAGGTATTCTCAACATCGAAAATTGTAGTGGTGCCACATAACACATTGGAGAAAATGCAATGTAATTCCTGGACATTAAGGTTCATAATAGTTTGTGACCTATAAATTTCACCGTTGTTTTGCAAGTGTGTGTGAGTCTTATACCTATTTGTTTGTATTTTGTACATGTGTTAAATGTGGCAACATCGGTTTTGGAAGTAATCGGGCGGTAATTCATTTCTCTAGTCCATCAACGTCGTGCGCGACCGTCATGCGGGGTGACAGACGGTGGCGGGGACGAGGTACTCAAGATGTCAGCGGGTAGCGGGTGGTGTAGCGGGGAAGGGAAACACTTTTCTTCGTGTGTAGCCGTGCTAGAATGACGCGCTACCTCGCCCCCGCCACTGTCTGTCACCCCGCGGGACGGTCGCGCACGAGATTGCCGGGTTATAGGGAGATAATGTCTTATTATTACGATTTCTGTGGCTGAACCGATTGCTACCTTCAATTATAAGTTCACACCGGGACTAAAAGCAATTTTAATAGCAATTGATATTCTCCTGTCTATCCCCTATTTTTTAAGATGCTTTATAAAATAAAAGTCAATTTTGTCATTTGATTGCAGCAGTTTGATTTATTGACCCGAGGATATCTCGGGGCTTTTAAATTTAATTTAAACTTTAACATTGGAAAAGTTACATTTGTGGTTTGCGGAGTTGAAATAAATCTTTGTGAATCTAATTGGATCTGATTTATCCTAAAAGAGGTTCATTCGAACAGAAAATAAAGCTGTGGCGGAACGCGGTGTTACGTGCCATCGAAACAAAGCGAGAATCTTCTAAAAACGTTAGGTGATCATGTCTGAGGAGTGCAGAAAATGGTTCAAATGTTGGATTGTTGTATTAATATCTTGTTTTTAAAAGACAAATTCCGCACTAGGAATATATCCGCGGGGGACTTTACAACATACATACATGAAAAGAACACAAAGAACACCCAGACTCAGAACAATAATTCGTGTACCACACAAAGTGCCGTCCCATGTGCAGATCGAACCTAGAACATTTAGCGAAGTAGAAAGTGGAGAGATGACAGCTTAAATCACTTCGCCATCCGTGCAGTATTATATAAATCACTAGCTGGTACCCGCGACTCGCCGCGACGCGAGTGTAGTACTAATAGGTACAAGAGGCCTCGGGTTCGATTCCCGGACTGGGCAAAATTTTATAGGGTTTTTCTCGGAGGAAAAAAAAACTGAGTTACTCCTTATATAGACAGCTAACTGGTAGTAAAATATTATCAAAATCGGTCAAGCCGTTTGGTAGATTACCCGGAACAAACAGACAGACGAACAAAATTATTTAAACTGGATTTTAAGCATAGGTGTCGTGCAAATAACCGTGTGAACACGAAAAATATTTCTATTTGAAATAAATATTATTCTATTCTACTCTATTTGGATATTACAAACACAGACTTCAATTTTAATTATTTGTATAGATACATACAGGTCAACATATAATAAATTATTTTTTCGTGAAGAATAAATGCAGATAGTCAACATTTAACTATTATTATACTATTTTTTAAACAATATGTGCTACAAAATTAAAACAAAATATGTTAAAAGGCTCCATAAAACTATAAAGGTTATGGTTGAGTTATACTGATCAATTAAATAAAATAACAACTTCGAAATGGTCGGGATGCGACCGCCAGGATATGCCAGGATATTTCTGTAAAAGTTCATTAGGTAAATTAGTATAGTAATATTCATTTTGGCATATTTCCTGCTATTTACCTTGAGACAGCAGTGTGAGCAGGTAACCTTTGGAATTGAGGTAACATTTAGCAGTTATAAAACAATTATGTTGTAAAGACGTGTTATAAAGAAACAATAAATCACATTTGCATGTCTCAGTAAGATGGCTTGTGTCAAATATTTTGTTGTTTGATAATTCTTTGATAAAAGCAGGTTCTTGAAATATTGCGGGAGTCCGATTGTGGTTCCGGTAGTTTCACTCACTGGGTAAAAAAGAACGACAGAACGATTGCTAAGCCACGTTATCGAAACAGAAAAAAAACTTCGCTAAAATATTGTCGATGTTTGTCAAAATCGAAGGGCACAGACCGAAAAATTTGTCTAAGTAGAAATAAATTAAGCTATAATTGTTTTAAGTTTGCCGCGCGAACAAAACGTGGAGGATTGCTCGGCCACGGAGATCTCAGCAACTACTTAAGTTAAAGATATAATTCTTTTTGTCAATTGAAGACTAAATTTGACAAAATTTATCGAAAGTATTGTATCGTAAAATATTGATATGTATGCTACATATCAATATTTTACGAAATATTTACCTTGGAATATATGGCCGCGCAATCGTACACTTGTTGTTTTTTTATTGTTGGTTATTTCTTTTAAACTTATATAGTTAAACTGTTACAAGAAGAAAGGTATTAATTTGCCAAAACTAATAAAAGCAATAATACTACCAAAGTTTAGTTAAACAGATAAAATCAGTCAAAAACAGTAAGTACGTGGACGCGCAGTCCAAACGTTACTTTGTAACCTTTGTGTTTGGATTTTGGCGTGAACATCCATTTACCTCATTACTCATAAAATGACATATTGTTTTACCCTTAGATCAGTTTTCAACGCAATCTCAAAAATAATGTTATCTCATATTTTCCCATAATTTTGATTTAATTTGGGAATACCTTTTGCTCTACTAGACGAAAATCTACCTAATATATAATCTCCGGTCAAGTCCGGTCAAGCCAGCCCAGCCATTGTTGATTTAATCGTAAGTTTATTTGTTATGTATATTAGTATGATCTGCTTATCTGTTACTTGTCTTGTTATATTTATGTTATTAACCCTATTATGTATGTAAGTGTAGTAATTATAATCTGCAACTGGTTAGTGTCAGGCTTTCGTCTGACACAATGCTGAATTGGGTCCGTTTTTAGCATGATAATTAAAGCTGCAATATTATTGTCTGTCTATACTTTTTTATTTGTTGCTAAAATTGACTATTATTTCTTTCCTTCTTTCTATTTAACTCATTATTTAACTATTACTACTTTAAATTATGAATTTAAAAAATTGAACAGCGAATAATTTACCTTAAAATTAGTAAATATACGAGTACATCTAAAAGATGAAAAGCGTTGGAGTAAGATAATAATTTTGTGCAGTTTAATGAGGTCATGAACGTTTTTAAATAACTATACTATGAATTATCACGAATATAAGGAAAACGAAGTGTTTAGAAATTGCAATCTGCACTAGGTTTAGCGGTCTCAGACTTTCCTTTGCTTATAAAAAAAGATAACAACCACACTAGGAATATATACAGTTTCACGGGGGACTTTCCAAACATTCAATGAAACGAATACATAGAACTCCAAGACTTAGAACAACAATTTGTGTATCACAAAAAGTGTTATTCCATGTAAAGATCCAACCCACAACACTCAGTAGAGTAGGACCACCACTAAGCCATCCGTGTAGTCATCCCTTTCGACAACAGCAGCCCGCAGCAGTTACAGTTGCAACTCTGGCCTGCTGGACCTATTCTTCTAAAGGCCAACCCAGACCCTATACTGCACTCACATAGTACTCTTTAACATTGTACACGAACTTAAAAAAAATACATCTTTGTGGTTTGTTTCAGCGTTTCTTCCCCGAGTGAGTCTTAGGAAAGCCGGCACCTTCTAGCTGTAAAGTCCGACTTGTAAAAATATGTGAAAAGATTTACTTGCAGAAATAATTATCATTTCATCATTATTTCATTTATAGCTAACACTAACCAATACATCCATATAACCATTAACCCTGTCCTACCATATCCTTCTTTTCATATCTACTTGCCTTTAATTTTAAACTTTTAATTTGCCAACTAATTCCCATAGTTGGCGGCAATATCTCGTAAGAGAAACTAGAAAATACATCAAAATATAGGCGTTCACTACGACTTTCCATGTTCACCCACGGATTTAGACATGATCAATATATTCTTAACAATAATAATAAAAAATATATTTTCAGGAAAATTTGGAATATTTGACTCCATGTTCCTATTTGTCAAGACACATAAACTCAAACAAGTACTCACATAATCTTCCTTCAAAGGTACAGCGTCGTAGGGTACTGGTTGCCAAACCTTGCCCAGACCTGCATCCCACTGCTGCTCAACTACGGGTGGGTAAACAGCAGCCATAGCGACTAGGATCGTCATTTTGGTTCGATCTTTTTCAGTACTCCTGATGGCGATCTCGTTGTTGAGATACAGGTTTGATATCAATCCATAGCCTTCGGATCCATACCGTTGTCGTAAGAATTTACCTATCTGATTTGCTCGCCTTTTGCCCACCTGTAACAATATTAATGTAAGAAAATAATATAGCCTATTGGTCGAGTGGTTAGTGACCCTGATTGCTCAGCCGGAGGTCGTTTGTTCAATTCCCACCCAGGGCAAATAATTGTGTGATGAGCACGGTCATTTGTTCTGTGTCTGGGTGTAATTTATCTATAATATGTATGTATTTCAAAATGTAAAAGTATGTTTATCAGCAGTCTGGTTTCCACAGCACAGGCTCTGCCTAGTTTGGGATTCGACGGCCGTGTGTGTGTGATGTGTGAGGTATATATAGGTATATATATTCTTAATTTAAATCGTCATTTATCTTTACATATAAAATTACTTGGCCTGATTGAATGATTCATAAACGCAGAGCCAAAACCGATGGGGCTTTAAACTTAAATTTTTTGTAACCACAGCTTTTTATGTTGTAAGCACAGACTAAAAAAAGTTTCTTTTTAAATTTCACTCCTAAGGGGTAAAATAAGGGAAGAAAGGTTGTATGGAAGTCATTTTCAAAGTTAGAAATAAGAAATAATCAGGCGAACGAAGCTAGACAACGAACGAATGTTAGACAATTATTTACTATCCATACATACGATATCAGAATGTTATAAAATCATAACATAAATAAGTCCACGATAAACTTTAAACTTTAATAAGATAGTTTTAAATACTTATGATAATAATATCTAATCTTTTTAAGTGTAATACAAAATAAAGATACGTATAACATATTAAAGCTTTTATATATGAATATGTGTGTGACGTGTGGTGACGGATTAAGAATACGGAGTGTCACCACCCTTATTCATCCCGAGGGTGTCGTAAGAGCCGACTAAGGGAGTAAACTACGCAGAACGACCACACTGCAAAGAGAAGGAAAACTTGAAACAAACTCTATACCAACCCGTCTGGCCAGCGTGGTATAGTAGGCCAAAACCTCCTTTCTGAGGAGAGGCCTATGTCCAGCAGTGGACTAGTAAAGGCTGTTGATGATGATGATATGAATATGAATCTATGAAAATGCCTTTAGCAGTCCACTGAATGACGTAGGCCTCTCCGTAGAATGGAGGGTGTGGTCCATAATACCACGTTGGCCAGACGGGTCGATTTAGGGTTTGTTTCAAGTTTTCCTTCTCTTTGCAGTGATGTTGTCCTGCGAAGTCGGCTCTTACGACACTCACGGTATGAATAGGGGTGGTGACATTCCGTATTCTTAATCCTGATAAAAACGTCGATTTGTTCTGTACCTGGTTGTGTAATTTTTATATTACATGTATGTATTTGAAAATATATAAAAATGTTTATCACCAGTCTGGTTATCATAGTACAGATGCATTATGATCCGACGAACTGTTTACCGGCGAATAAAATGCAAGCAAATAAACGTTGTCTTTTATATGTTAGAGCCGTAAATACGGTTACTGATAATATTAGTAGTGGTTCAGAAATAAATTAGATAAGAAACCTGTATACTTATTATGTAATAATAGCTTTTAGCTGTAGTAAAGATAATTAATAGAATGTCACAAGAAAAACTATGAGAACCTGCTTTAAAATAAAAATAAAAAAGATCGGAAAACAAAAACAAGTATTCTTTCATTTAAGTACTACCTACTTTGTATTTATCCTCCTCCAACCCCCTCCGTCCCACTAATATTAGGTGACCCATCTGCTCGTTTATACCTATAAAATCAAAAGGCTTTTTATTTTGCTTTTCTTCTTTAAAAGCAATATAAAAGCAATACATACATTGGTCAATCCTTCTGGCCCCTCTAAGTAAGTGATATTGAGGATCTCTTCTTGGCGGTCCGATAGAGAACGTTCATCATCATCAGGAGCTCTTTCACCGTGTCGGTTTAGCTGTGAAATTATTATATGATTAATTGGAAATAGAAGGAATTGGAATAACACAATTTCATAGTACGCATCACCAAGGGATGTAATAAAGATGTTTGTTATTAAACACACGTCATCAACAGCCTTTCGTAGTCCATTGCTGTACAATACTGGACATAGGCCTCTATTTACAAAGGAGGTTTTGGCCTACTATACCACGCTGGCCACACCGCACGACACCCACGCATTGCTTAGCTTGTTTTTCTATTAGATAATAATATTCCACAATATTTCTTAGTGATGAAGTTAATTAAATGTTTTTTATCTGTGGAACGGGTTATCGTCTGCGGTATTTCCGGACCGATACGACCTTCAAACCTTTAAGAAAAGAGCGTACTCCTTCCTAAAAGGCCCGCAACGCGTTTGTGACTCCTGAGTTGCAGACGTTCATGGGCGGCGATAGTCACTTTCCATGAGGTGACCCGTCTAACATAAAAAAAAAGTTTCGTGTCAAAATCATCATCTCAGTCGAAAGACGTCAACCGTTGAACATAGGTGTCTCCCTCCTAGGGAGTAGGAAGAGGCCTAAGTCCAGCCAAATTCATTCAATTGTATGAATTTCTTTCACAAAATCTCAAACAGTTTATCCAGTTTACCAATAAATAGATTGTAAAAATACGTTAAAAGAAAGCTTATTACTGGGTTAAAAATTACATCGATAATAAATCTGCTTAGGATTGAGTTGCTTGAACCACAAGTGTAAGGACAATCGTTTGTGAGTGCCCTCGCCGTCGCCGATGGAGATTTCATCGACCCGACCGGGTTCTGTGGATGCTTCATTGCCTGTCAGTTTTTCTTACAGGAGTGTTTTTAGTGGGTCGAGCCACTAGAAAATACTCCTTACACACTTTAGTTATAACCCTGTCTGGCGAGGCTAGACTGGTCTAGTTTAGTCCTTGAAATAGGTATACAAATGAAATATATCGGATTCCCGGTTCCCGGATCCCTCCTATTACAGGCGCAGAGTGGGAATCCGTGTGGTTTTAGTCGGTCCGATTCCGACACACCACCCCGCCGCAAGCCCCACAAATGAATTTACGTAACTCTTACGATCTTTTACGAGGGTCATCTCATCTCTGTTGTTCTAGTATCTCATTTTTTTTTAATATGATTAATATTTTTATACTACTGACGTTTGAAAATAGAATTTAACAAAGCCTACTCAATAAAAATACCTAGGCTGTTTTTGAAGTCTTGAATTGTAGGAGGTCCTGTTACCTACATGTTTCTTCTTTTTAAGAAAAATCAATTTCTACTTACAACCATAGCAAAGACCAACTCCTGATCATCCACTTCATTTTCTACAGGGTGGATGCTGGAGACAGTAGATAATGACAGAAAATAAGCTAAGACTAGATACCGGAACATTTTCTGTAATAAAAAAATATTCATTTAAATTTTTTACATATTAATTTACTTGTTGATAACAGTTTTTAGTCCCGACACAAAGTGTAGGTATAGGTTAATCGTATTTTGTATCTGTGTGTGTTTGTTTCACTATAGCTCCTTAACGGATGGACCGATAAAATGATAAACGATTCATTATTTCTTTAAATAAATCTTTTCAGATATTTTTACAAGTCAGTCTTTACAGCTAGAAGGAGCCGACATTTTCTAAGACTCACTCATGGAAGAGACGCGGAATCAAACCACAGAGAGATCAATGAATGAGAAGAGGATGTTAAAGAAAACTGTGCGAGTCCAGTATAGGGTCTGGGTTGGCCTTTTGAAGAGAGGACCATAGTTTCGAGTCGGCCTATCAATACAGACAGACGTGTAGCTTAACCGATGTTGGTCAAGATGAACAACAAAACCTTTGGGTAGACCGTTGAAACACTCATAACACAATTTTTTTTTAAAAAGACAACGTCCGCAGTAGGTATATATTCCTGTGTCACGGGGGACTTTACAAACATACAAGAAACAGACACAAAGAACAATAAAAAGCCATGTGGTGTCGTGGGACACCCGATAGGAACGAAGTTGTGACGATCGAGTAAAACTGATTCGACACGATTTTAATTACAACGCCATCTATGAAAGCGGCTATTACCTACATATTTTTCAGTTGGTTTCTAATTAAAACAATTTATACATTGGTAAAATCTCCTTGAGAAATGGTTTCCTATCTATTCGATAGATGGCGGTGAATGACTGACATAAAAAGTGTCGTTACAACTTTTCGTGAGAATTTTTTCCGTCTAGCCCCCTTTCACAACGCTCGATAAGGAACTTCGTTCCAAAAAAAAATCAGAAAAATAATTTTTGGATCTCGCAAAGTGTTGTCTCATGTGGGGTTTAAACCCACAACACTCGGCGTAGTAGGAAGCGGCGTGGCGACCACTTAACCCACTACGTAGTCAACAAAAAGTTCTTACGATTACATGACCAGTCTCTTCGATTGCCCGTCATACCAGAAAAAAACACTAACATTAACACGAGGGACGCTTTTTATTACATAAGTTCAAAAACATTATATTTAATGACGTAGATATTGACGCGTCTGACACACGACGCAGACCCGTGATTAGCAATCTAGGAAGAGACCCATTAGCTTGAACTTTAGATTGTTTTGTACATCATTTGTTTATCTTGTCGCAGAAGTAACAGTGATAAGGAACACGTGTCACACCAGAGAGATTGTATTAAATACAATTTACGCGACTGTACCAGATGGAGGATTTATTTTTTCGAGTGTATCTGTGTATATAGCCTGTAGCCTAAACGGATTTATGGGTTGGTGATTGAGGTGTCGTTAGATTCTCGTCTTTTAAGTGTAACAATAGGTATATGAATATAAAGTTTGTAAATTTTAAGTAGGTATACATTTTCACGCAGTTGGTTTTTTTTAATGGTTATTAGCTTGTTTAGATTAAAAATTTCTACGGTTGACACTGTCGATAGGAGAAAAAGTTATCCAGGAGATGAATGAAGGACTGTCATTGGCGTTTTTCTCTTCTTTAATGTGATTGAACGAATCGTAGAAGTTCGAATTAACACTGTGTAGTGTTTTAAATATAAATCGCTGAACGAAGGCCTCCCCCAAGGAGCGCCAAGACTTTTTTAAATATTTTTTTGTATAGATTTATGTATAGATTCATGGGAATTTTACTAAACGGTAGTATAAAATTATAGCAAATTGAATGAAATAATTAAAGCGGAAGTAATAAATACTTAATCATCAAATACCTACAATAATACGATTAATTGTCGACACAGAAAACGATTAAAAAGTTGTATACGACATGACGAAAAGTAATGACAAGTTTGATGAGTATTTTAACCGACTTCAAAAAAGAAAGACGTTTTTAAATTGGTTATAGTCTTTTTTTGTACGTTTGTTATCTCCGAACTCCTTCATTTAAGAATTGAATTGAAAAGTTTATTTCTACCATCCGTAGATAGCCCGGGGTCCGTTGGGGTACCAAGGATTTCCTTTCTAGGTTACATCTGGTTCCCTTGTTACTAGTTCTTAGGACGGCGTCAGGCCCTCCGGTGTGGCGTTGGGGGGAGTCTGATTATTTTTCTATAATATTAAAATAAAAACTTCTATGAGTGATATTCATATTTATAAAACGGCAAGGGTACAATGTCTGATTCCGACACAGAATGTCGCTTCAGCCCTCCTTAAAGGCCTGAATTAGTTTGATATATTCATAAATATACATGTGAGTAAACCGTATGTAATTAATAGCAAGTATTATGTAAGAAAAATTGTCTGTCAAAACCTGATTGTAATAGCAGTAATATGATGCCACATACATTTAATTGTTCTCAAGATTAAAAACAAATTAACGTTTAACGACTCATTAAAAGAAAACCAGAAAAACTACTTTGATAATATTTATTTTTGTTTATGCCTTATTTCTTTGTTATATCCAGATAATAAATTGTTCAATGAACAATTGTTGATTGTCAATTATTTATTTAATTACGTTGCAAAAAATATATATGTTTAATGACTAGATTAGATTGGTCTGTTGGTTTTGTGTGCTCCATACTGCTGAGCCAAAGATCGTGGGTTTGATTCCCAAAATAATTGTGTGATAAACGATCATCTGTTTTGTATCTAAGTGTAATTAATCTGTAACATGTAGGTATTAAAAAAACGACTGGGTGTTATTTGTGTCCATTTCATGTATGTTTGTAAAGTCAACCGCGACACAGAAGATATTACTAGTGCGGGAGTTGTCTTTTTATAAAAGAAATGAAAAAAGACAACTGGGATTTTACTAACATAATTACATAAAACACCCAAATAAAGACTCAAAACAACAATTTGTGGATCACACAAAGTGTTGTCCTACGTGGGGTACGAACCCATAACACTCAGTGCAGTAGAATGTTTGTTTGGCACGTATTCGTATAAACCCATACAAATTAATTATAGTTACCATGAATTCTGCATTAGCGACAACGAAATGTCCCCCCCACGAATATGTACTTTTACTGAATATACTCATGTCTTTATATATACATTTTTTTGTGCGTGTGTATGTCACTGAACTTCTCCTAAACGGCTGGACCGATTTTGATATCATTTTTTGTGTGTCTAAGTGGATTCGAGAATGGTTTAGATTAACAATTAGGTTTTTAGAGAAGCAAACAATTTTGGGCCGGTCAGCTGGTATATTATATTTTTATATGTAAATGCAAAAACAAAATACACCACTTCAATTTAGATTTCAAAGGCACACGCACACCTATAAACATACGTATTTTAATGAATCATCTGTTGTGTTCATATCTTCAGTAAAAAACTTCAACATGATTTGTTTATTTGAAAAAGGCACACAAAAAAATGGGATGGCGCTTGAAATAATACGAAACAATTATAATAATATTAAAGGCGTAGGTTTTTCGGTTGGCCCAAATAATTACGGGGTTAAAAAACCCATGTTTTATATGTATTTATCGCCTTTAGGGCCTATACTGCACATTGGATTTTTTCGCCTTCTCTTACTCGATCCAATTTTTATGTATATTATACCAAAACCGCTTGATATTAACGTAATTACTTTTCGTCAAAAAGTATCCTATATTTGCCAAGGTCCATTCTAAGTCTACTCTAAATTTATCAAAATTTGTTCATCCGTAAAACGTAACAGACAGAAAGAATTGTTTGCGCATGTATATTACTAAGGCAATGACTACATGTTTTTGTGAGCAGTGGAAATATACCACCCACCGGTGGTTATGTCGGACTCGAACCGCAAAGAGTTTAATAAAAAAAAATTGTGAATAACAGCTCACAAGGTATTAAAACGATTTTAATTTACCAACCGAAAAAAAATCAGAAGGGTTACACAGGACTGCCCATCTTATGGTGGTAAGAAAGTCATTGGACGCGGTCTTTACCAATAAGCACGTCGAGTTGCACGTCGACTGCACGGGTGGCGTGGTGGTTTAAGCGGTCTGAGTGTTGTGGTTCCGATCCCCACATGGGACGACACTTTGTGTGATCCACAAATTGTTGTTCTGAGTCTTGGTATCTTTTGTGTCCATTTCATGTATGTTTGTAAAGTCCCTCGCGATACGCGATTTATTCCTTTTTTTTTTTGCAGAACATGAGTAGGTATAAAAGTTCTTACAATAGTATCAGATTCATCATATTCTGCTGTCACAGCAGCATGCAAAAGTATACAATAACCATTAAATTAATATAAAGACTGGAATTGAGGAAAGTCACTAATAAATTACGTTTACATAGTTATAACTGTTATATAAATTAAACATTGTTCATTAACACCAATTCACTATCAATTAAGTAATCGTTCACAGAATAATATCCTTTTCCAACTAATATTTCTTTGACTTTATTTTTAAATATAAATACACTATCTGTGATTCCGAGTACAGATTTTGGTAAACGATTGTATAATCGAACAGCCATACAAAGTGCGCTCCTATTTAACAGGGCTGTTTTATTTCTGCGTTTATATCATGCCTCTTACTATTAAGATTTTTAAATACATAAGCATTTTTACGCACAAACACGACAGTTTCTAAAATGTAAATGCATGGTAGCGTTAGAATTTTAAAGTTTATAAAATATGGTTTACAACTGTCTGTAGTTTTAAAACTGAATATGGCCCGCATGCATTTCTTTTGCGCCTTAAATACAGTTTCCCTATCTGTAGAATTTTCCCCAGAACACAACACCATACCTCAGACCATACCCCTTAAATATAAAATATAAAAATATAAATATAATTACTACTTTGCATCTATATGTTTGTGTATTTGTATTCACTAGCTGACCAGCG